ACAAATTCTGCTATCTTCAAGAAAAAAGGAACCGTTTTGATGTATTCAAGGCCTTTCGGTATCGTCCCCATGTTTGGCAATAATGCTGGTATGAAAATTGAAAAATAAATTAAATTAACGTAAAAGTGTTAAAAAAAGCGACACATTAAAATTATTTCCTTTTCAAATTAAATAATTTAGTTCAGCAATATTCATGCTTGTGTATTTCAATGTTATTTCACATAATATGACAGCGAAGCAAAGCATCATGGCGTACAATATTTTACGCTTTCATTCATTTCAGATATAATTTCATCCACAAAAAGTAACACTTAATAAAAAAAGTACAGCTACTTTAAAGATGAGCAAGTGTCGCGAGGACTTGACAACTTAGAGTTAAAAGCTGTAATTTTTCCTTTATATTGACTCATGCTGCGGATGAACTGTTCAAAAACGGATCTTATTGTATAATTTTAAGAAAGCTTATGCATTATTGATATCATAAAAATCAAGAAAGAGGAACCAGCCCAGATTGTAAAATAGATTGGTTAAGGCCGAGTGAAGATTGTTCAAAAAATGGTAGTATAAAAACAAATTTACACATCCAAATATTTTGTTGAGTTAATATAATATTAACAATATTTCATTTTTATTTTACTATTTTCTTCTCTACACTCCTTGTTCTTAGCATTATGAATAAAAATTGCACCGGTGGACTGTGTTATATAAATCCAAACTTCGACTTAAATCCTCCAAAAAGCATTTTTGAAATCAATTTAATTATATTCACATTTAATGTTTTTTTTGTTAAAGAATTAGCGTCAAAGGAACGATGCCTTCATTGGCGTCTCAAAAACTTCTTTAGCCGCTGCGCTTTCGGTTAGAGATTCATTGTTTGATTGTGTAGTATGTAGTTCACTTTATGTTATTATACACTCTGCAATTGCAAGGAATTTATATTTTCATAATATGGCTTTACATGTTTTATGATTCCTAGAAAGTGAACAACATTGAGAATGTTTGTTCTAAGAAAATATAAATTCAAATTTGCTACAATGCACAACAAATATGTTTGAATTTCTATCCATCCACAGCATGTATAACGTACCAAGAATAGTTTCATTCACATCTACCTTCTAACGGTGAGCAAAGATCTTGAGGAATTGAAAATTGAAATACACAAACTGCAATATGAAGGATTCGCACCGCGACTAAAACGTGCGGTGAGGATCGTATTACAAAGTTTTGAGCGAAGCTTACCTACTTATAGCTAAAACACGTTGAAATCGCGTCGTCTCAACGTCATTAAAACCTTGAGAGAATTTTTGTTTAAAAGCTGAGGAAATGTGTTTTTCTGGATTATCTTTAAGTCTATTACTGCTATCACTTTTAAACTTCTTTGTCTAAACATCAAACTAAGATGTCGACCAAGTTTTAAAGTGTGAAGGCAAAATATATTATAAACAAGCGACGACTGCAATAAATGTGAGCTTTGCATGCGCACTTATTTATTTGTGCTAGATTTCTCTTCATGATAGAAGGCTACACAAGCCAAACAAATCAACGAATGTTCATATGAATGAGTGACTTAAGAATTCTTATTTATTTTAGCTAAAGTAATCGTTTATGTATCAGAGTAACATTAACGATGTTTCAATCAATGTCATTTTCAATAAAATATTTGCTATGAAGAATTGCCATGCGTTCATCAACCTGAGTTAAATTTAACACCAGACAGAACAACTCAAGTTTTTGAAGCCCTAAGAAAATTTTCTCATTCTGCGGAAGCCTCTTCCTTGAAGCATTAGTTCTGTAACAATTTAAACGTAAACCACATTTCGAAATGAAAGATATGTACAACAGATGATTATAGTAATAAACATCATCTTGGTAAATAAATATCATTGTAGAAATTAGCGTGCATGCATATGACATTTATAGCACAAATGATTAAATATTGACTTACTTTAAATACACTGGTGCACAAATATCTTGATAACTTTTGCAGCAGATTTTCACATTAAACTGACAGTTTAAATTGAGCTTCGAATTTAGAACCTTGCACGCTTCTAATCTGCACAGAAATGAAAAAATTAATGAAGGGATCCGATGGGTTGATATATGTACCAAGTATCGATATTTCCCGTTATTCTGATACCAAGAAAGAATATTAGCCTTTTTGACACGCATGAGCCAGCAGTCAAAGACATTAAAAGCTTAGTGATGAGTGCTAACTACGAGTTAATACAATTCTGTTGTGATTTCTATGAGACAGTGTAATTGTGTTATATAATTCCAAACTTCGGTTTAAATCCTCCAAAAAGCATTTTCGAAATCAATTTAATTATATTCACATTTAATGTTTTTTTTTTGTTGAAAAATTAGCATCAAAAGATCGATGCCTTCATTGGCGCCTTAGAAACTTCTTTAGCCGCTGCGCTTTCGGTTAGAAATTCATTGTTTGATTGTGTAGTATGTGGTTCACTTTATGTTATTATACACTCTGCAATTGCAAGGAATTTATATTTTACTAATATGGCTTTACACATTTTATGATTCCCAGAAAGTGAACAACTTTGAGAATGTTTGTTCTAAGAAAATATAAATTCAACTTTGCTACAACGCACAACAAATATGTTTGAATTTCTATCCATGCGTAGTATGTAAAACGTACCAAAATTTGAATAGTTTCATTCACATCTACCTTCTAACGGTGAGCAAAGATCTTGAAGAATTGAAAATTGAAATACACAAACTACAATATGAAGGACTCGCAACGCGACTAAAACGTGCGGTGAGAATCGTATTACAAAGTTTTGAGGGAAGTTACCTAACTATAGCTAAAACACGTTGAAATCACCTCGTCTCAATGTCAGTAGAACCTTGAGAGAATTTTTGTATGAAATCTGAAGAAATATATATTTTGTGGAATATTTTAATGTATTTTAGTGCTATCACGTTTAAACTTCTTTGTCCAAACGTCAACCTAAGATGTCGACCTTGTTTCAAAGTGTGAAGGCCAAATACATTATAAACAAGCGACGACTGCAATAAATGTGGGCTTTGCATTCGAACTTATTTATTTGTGCTAGATTTCTCTTCATGATAGTAAACTACAGAAGCCGCATAAATGAATAAATGTTCAATGACTCAACGAGTGAACGAGAAACTCAGAAATTTTATTTTTTTAAGTTGTAATAATTGGTCGACATAAAAGAGTTGCTTGAACGATGTTTCAATCATTGCCCTTTTTTTAAATTTGTTATAAAAAGTTGCCATGCGTTCATCAATCTGAGTTAAATTTAACATCAGACAGAGCAACGCAGATTTTTGAATTCCTAAGAAAATTTTCTCATTCTGTGGAAGCCTCTTCTTTAAAGCATTAGTTCTGTAACAATACACCACAATTTGTGGGGAAAGATATGTACAACAGATGATTATAGTAATGAACATCATTTTGGTGAATGAATATAGTTGTACAAATTAGCGTGCATGCATATGACATTTATAACACCAAATGATTAAATATTGACTTACTTTAAATACACTGGTGCCCAAATATCTTGATAACTTTTGCATCACGTTTTCACCTTAAACTGACAGTTGAAATTGAGCTTCGAATTTAGAACCTTGCACGCTTCTGATCTGTACATAAATGATAAAATCAATGAAGGGATAGGATGGGTTGATATTGTACCAAGTATCGATATTTCCAGATATTTCTGATACCAAGAAAGAATATTAGCCCTTTTGATACGTATGAGCCAGCAGTATTTTGTCAGTGGAAACGCGCAAACTGTCAAAGACATTTCATAAAGGTGCGGCAAATTTCAAAATAAATGAAATATTTTCTCCTTGATTTTCTGCGAGATGAGAAAGATCCATGCGTATTACTTTATATGGAAAGATGAAAAAGGCATAATTTTCTGCAAAGTGTCAAATGACAATGAAAAAGCTCAGTGCAATGTTTGAAAGTTTATAAATTAAAAGTTTAAATCTTTCACATTCAAAAGGTATTTTGCATATTATAGTAAATAAATCTTGTAGGAGTTGATTTTATTTCCCCTTTAATTTTCTTTTGTGAGTTTCTCTCAGTTTTCTCTTGGGTTTCTTGGTTTGTCTTGGTATTTCAGGCCATTCGCCATGGCAACTGCTCTTTTTAAGTTCATTTTTTGTTGTCTTTAATAAAAGATCTTCTAAAACTGTAACAAAGTTTCTGTTCAACATCAACCTAGACATGATGGCTTGAAACAACAAGAAACTGAAATGATGCATTTATACACAACGAACGCTGAAAGACTCCAGTAAAAAAGATTTTACATCCTACATTTAAAATGGTCGTTTTATTGTCAGTCTCTGTTTTTGGGCATTTTGCTTATAGTTGAAAGTCCTATATTCTAGGTATAAGCTTCAACCTTGAAAAACAATAGTACGGAGAAGCAAAAATTATCAAAAAAGACATTGCAATAATCTTATGCTTCACTAACAAATCCATGAATTGTAGACTTCTCGGAAAATAGAAATAATGCATATTTGTAGCTACGGCTAAGGTTGTTGAAACGTCAGTTAACATCAACACCAACAGTCCTTCGCAGGCTCACCGTATAGTCAGTGCATACCTATGACTACATTAATAAACTTTACTTACATGAAATTATGATAAAATTGTGAACAAATTGTATAACTGCATACACAAAGTAGAAGTTAATAAACAATGTTGCTGGTGTCGTATCTGCAACAAATCTTGCTGGTGTCGTGTTGTTACAAATGTTGCTGGTGTTGTAGCCATAACAATTGTTGCTGGAGTTGCAACTGTAGATGTTGTGGGTTTGGATAATTGATAGTTAAACAGAACATCCAATGCCAAGGTTATGGTTGGAATTTTTTTAATTCTAGAAATATAAAGATAAGTAGCTATATATATATACTAGTGTATAATTAAAAAGTAAAAATACTTGATCAAGGTTTTACTTGATATAAGGGTGTAAGAATGTAACCATTTGACCATGTGACTGACTAACCGTAGAAGAAATAAGATAAATACATGTTGGACGAGTTTTTGCCGCTTTATTCTCCAGATCACGAAATGATTTCTCGAATAGATTTTTCTTTTCGTTAAATAATCTGTGAAGAGTGTTAGACATGAGACAACCGGCGATAAGCAACATCACAGTCCATATCATCGTGTTGATGAACACCTGCTATAATATAGAGTAGCGTATTTTAGAATAAGCTAAAAATTGCAAGAAATGCATTGCTTCTGTAACATATGCAGAAAAAAGGACTTTAGAATTTGGGTGTTGGACTGTCTATAAACAAGATGTTTATAATGATGTCGCAGAGAGACAATTAAGATGGCGAATTTTTAGTCCATCATTCCTATAAAGCTTATCAACTTAAAATAAATAATTCCCCAAGTACTTTCAGACGATAAGCAAGGATCCCAAACGCGAAGCACACAATATCCAACGCTATTCTGCGTTAGCATTGTATGAGCTCGACAAGCCATCAGTCCAGATCCATGTAATGAATCACCATAAGACAAGCTTTCGACTGATTTATCTCTTGTTAATCTTTGACACCCCCTTATTCCGTCAAGAAACCCACTTGTCAGTCAAACATGATTCCAGATCAGTTAAAATTCAATTTAAACTTGTAACCTGCGAGATTTATACTAGCTTATTGCCCCTTTATCTATCTTATTATTGTTTCTAGAAAGACAACCTGGCAATGATTTAAAGCATTTGATGTATTCTTCTGACAAAGCCAGTCATGTGTCTAATACTATATCCCTTGACCTTGAGACTAAACCAAAGGTAATAATAGAAACCTTTTCTAGTCGATAATTTGAAAAAATAAATGAGAAAACACACTTCAAATTTCATGAATCTTCGGACACTTTTTTACACGGACTTTTTACCGCAGCTGATACGGGAGTTTTCTCGGCCGTAGCCGTCGAAAACTACCGAGTCGGTGCTTTCTCGGCTCCGGTCGGAGTCGGTGCTTTCTCTGCCGAAGCCGGAAATGAAAGAACCACTAACCATCACAAACAGTGACCACTAATCACACTCATAACAATCCTCCACTAAACCATGGTACGCACTACACATACGAATTTCTGGCAAGTCACCTTCAGGGGCGAATCTAGAATGTTAAGTGGAGGAACGTGAATATTCATATATTCAACTCTGCTTGACTGATTTGGTTTGTCTGCGATTTGAGTAGCTGAATGTAGGAATATTCCTCACACCCCCCCCACCCCCCCATTATTGTTTTAGTTTCGCTTGGTCTCCTTAGCATATCTTTTTCCATTTAAGTTCATTTGCTTTTAGAGCATTTGATAAAAAAGAAGTTCATTAATGCGCCACACAATTCAAATACGTAAAGACAAAATACATTAGCGTTTGTGTAACACAATGAAATAATAATAGAAACCTTTTCTAGTCGATAATTTGAAAAAATAAATGAGAAAACACACTTCAAACTTCATGAATCTTTGGATACTTTTTTATACGGACTTTTTACCGCAGCTGACACGGGAGTTTTCTCGGCAGTACCCGGCGAAAAATCCGGTCGGAGTCAGTGTTTTCTCGGCAGAAGCCGGAAATGAAAGAACCACTAACCATCACAAACAGTGACCACTAATCACACTCATAACAATCCTCCACTAAACCATGGTACGCACTACACATACGAGCTTCTGGCAACTCACCTTCAGGGGCGAAACTAGAATGTTAAGTAGGGACGTGAGTATTCATATATTCAACTCTGCTTGACTGATTTGGTTTGTCTGCGATTAGAGTAGCTGAACGTAGGAATATTCCTACAACCCACTCACATAACGTTTTAGTTTCGCCTTTGGTCTCCTTAGCATATCTTTTTTCATTTAAGTTCACATGCTTTTACAGCATTTGATAAAAACGAAGTTCATTAACGCGCTAAACGATTCAAATACGTAAAGACAAAGTGCAGCAGCGTTTGTGTAACATCAATATGGAAAATCATTAATTTCAATAAGATCACTTCATTATGCATTCTCTAAAGCGAAAGTCAACAGCGTGAGTCAAATGTCAAAAGCATTTAGTGAGCACGCATTAATGTTTTGGGAAGTACAATAGATAATAACAAAGAACATTAAAACTCTATAAAATGTCAATAACAATATATGTTTGCAATGGCATGATTATATAACCGTCAATATAGCAGAACTATTTATCCGTACGGTATCTGCCATTTGAAGTTAGACTTGAGAAAGTTTTTCAAATGTAGGAACAAAAATTTGTCCGTCTTCACTGTGTTTGCGTCATTTTCCCTGGTTTACGACTGAAGCGGAACAAATCTGGTTTTAAATACGCGCACAATATAAACGACCACTTTCCAACTTTCACATTCATACACTTAAAAAAAATAAAAAGAAATAATCTTGAGGGTTAATCCTGCAATTGCAAACATATAGTGTTATTGACATTTTATAGATTTTTAATGTTATTTGTTATCATGCTATTGTACTTTCCAAAACTTTTATGAATGAACGCTACATTCTTTTTACAATCCCTTCGCGTTATTGGTCTTTACTATATGGAATGCATAATGAAGTAATCTTCTTGAAACTGATAATTTGCCATATTGATTTTACAAAAATGCTATTGAACTTTTTCTATACGTCTTTAAATTGCGGTATGCGTTAATGATTGTCGTTCTTATTTAAATGACATGCAAATGCATAAAATGACAATATCAAAAATTATCTCGGTTGACTTGAGTGAAATTGATATCTATAGCGGAGAGTCAATCTTCTGTTGTAGCTACAGACTGAAATTCAGACCTTGAAACTTGCTTGTAATGTAAGCGATGAATTTTTATTTTTATAGACACTAGAACCGTACATTTTCAGCAATAATTAAGACAAGAAGAGAAGATGTTTTTAGCAAATAGAGATCAAACTTCAACATTACCGTTCTAACAATTTGTACTACATTGTATTTGTTTTATCATCTTCCTAAACTTACTTGGTGTGTATTGCTTCTTTTTGAAGTTATTCTCATTTCAATGTAGATTTGTCTGCCCAACCAACGAAAAAGAGGAAATGAGTCAGTTATTAAAACAGGAGGAGAAACTGACCGACACGAGGTGAAAGGATCTGAAAGAGCTCCGAAGCAGGTGATGTGTGTTTTTATTGATATTTTATGCGATATATATGAATGTCAATGTTGACAATCAGGTAACATTTGTTGACACTCAGGTAACATCATTGAGATGCTATAAAACATTGAAACTAACCCAAACCATGTACGCTACTGTTGAAAGCAACAGGACGCTATCCCTGGATTAAATTTTGCTCAGTTTGTTTCACAAAACTTAGGAAATGTATTCACAACACATGCGCTCACTGTTTACTGTAGTAGAAATGTAAACGGGAAATGTTTACCGTTGTAAAAATTTTACCTTATTTGGATATACCTGTAAACATACACATGTATTTGCATACCGCGCGACGTTGAAATGAAAAGAGCAATTAACCAATAGAAAAATTAACATATTAAAGTTTGAACGTAATATAAAGATTTTATTTTAAAAGGTGTGAAAATAAGTTTAACGTCAATGTCAGTACAATAAACGTTATTTCAAACTACCTTACATAGGTGATTACTCACGACACACACAACGCAAACTCACACAAATCATTAAACGCTACTGCACTGGCATTGACGTTAAACTTATTTTCACACCTTTTAAAATAAAATCTTTATTTTCGTTTAAAGACCCACTTCCCGAACTTTCCAAATCTATGGTAGTTTATCAATTTTCATGTGCGGGATGTAATTCCCGTTATATTGGTGAAACTTCTCGCCAATTATCTACCAGGATAAAGGAACATACTCACACAGACAAAAACTCCACTGTCTACAAACATCTTCAAGCCTCTCCTTCATGTAAAAACAAATTCTCACCTTCCTGTTTTAAAATCATCGACACTGATCAATCCACTTTCTCACTCAAAATCAAGGAAGCTCTACACATTAATAAAACTAATCCCGATTTAAATATCCAAGTTCAACACTACAACATTATATTTACTTTATAATAATATTTTTTGTTATAAGTTCTTAGTACTTATTTTTCTTTTCCTTTTTTGTAAATATTTTATAATTCTGTAACTAAATCATAATCTTATTCATTGTAATTAATTTATTCATATCATATTACGTATCATATTACTTAACACTAACCATTCTGCACTGAAGAGGACATTCTGATAATGTCGAAACATGTTTGCTTTCAAAAAAATCGTCGTTTTTCTCAAATGATTTTTAAAATTGCTGCTAATTAGAAATTATGATAATATTAATAATATTTCATTTTTATTTTTCTATTTTCTTCTCTACACTCCTTGTTCTTTGCATTATGAATAACAATCGCACCGTGTGAAGACAGCCGGATGTTTTAATTCTGTAACGCAAATTTTTTCAACGAAAATTTTTTATTTCCTCAAAATTTTACTTCCTCATGTTCCATTGAGTAAATACCAAAGTATTTGTATTTCAAGGGTGAAATATTACGATATTTTTTTAATGATAATCAAATCGTTTTGACTAATTGACTTTTAAATCTTTATCATACATTTTTTTCGGCAATGAATGGTAACATGTTTGTAGATGTAGATCGTCCAGGTTAGCAGGGACGCCGGAACGGCAAATGCGCAGGAGGGGCAAGCCTTTGTGGAAGGGTACATTAGTGAAATATACTAAAAATAATCTCATATTGATAAACAGCAAAGAGATGTGCTACATGCATAACACTGTACAGAAGCACATGTCCGCAGTGTTGTCGATGAATATTGACGATAATATAACTATCAAACCATATAACGTCACTAATTTACAATTTGTCATGTATTGTATTTTCCAAAATATTAAATTCTTCTTTCATTTGTCTGTGAAAACCCTTTGGCAATTACGTCTATTTCCACCATATCCATGTGTTGCTTCTTAATGTTAAAGAACATAATATCATTCAGATGATTTCCTTCAGTGTTTGACCGCAGCCATGTTTTTAGACGACGCATTACGCTGAATGTGCGTTCGCACGAGTCAGATGAGAGTGGCACTGTGTAGTATAGTATAATTAGTTTGTGGATCTCTGAGCACCTTTTCTTTGCTGACGGCATGGCATTGAATATCTCTGCTACTGTTGAAATACGCGAGACTTCTGTTATTTTTTTCTTCTGATCCGCGTTGTAAAGCCCAAGAATGGTGGGAAGATCATCAAGCTGCATTCTTAGAAAATCTTTATCAATCAAAGAATTGCTTAATCCATCTAAAGATACTCCTCTTTCTTTCATAGAGTTAAGTAACAGTTTCTCGATACATTTGATCTGGAAATGATCGTCTTGTTCAAATCGCGATCCTAGACCTGAGATGATTGCATCAATGGCTTGGTAGTACGAGCTTCGCATTGGTGTTATATTCGCACTGTTGTAAACTGAGGCATCTGTGACGTGAAGGCTTTCTGTTATCAACATTTCTTCATTATTCATCCATCTTGGAACTTTTCTTAGTTTAGTGCTAGTGCCAAAATTTTCACTAAATTCCAGTGGAAACGACATCATAACACGAAAAACTTTCTTAGCGTCATCAACTGTACGCTCAAACTCTTCTTTGCTTCTCATCTCATGAAGACGTTGCAGGACAAGTCTTATTGAAAATAGAGCGTACTCAGCTGAAATATCAACCGCTTGGAGCTCTTTAGAAAGCTTCTCAAATAAAGCCAATAGCTTTCTTGTCACGTTTAAATTAAAGATGACGATTAAGGAAGATAGTTGTCGCCTTAATATTCCTCTAATCTTTGCTTTTCTGTCCACCGAAATGCTAGTATCTTCCTGCAATTTTTCAAGGGTTGCATGTAGTTCAGCCCATTTCTCGAAGATGACGTCAGCAGCCTTTACTCTTGTTGTCCATCTCGTTGTAGAAAGACTTTGGAGTCGTAGAACTTTGTAATCGTTTCTTCCTGTTTCGTTTCTAAAATCTGCCTGTATTTCTTCGAACAATAAAATTTGTTTTGGATGGGCACTACGATTGCATACAGGGATTGGCATAAATCCAGTGATGTAGACAATAAATTAGACTGCTTAGCTGCATCCTGTATAATAAGTTCATTGCAGTGACTGAAACAATGAACATAAATTGCATTTGGTGCAATATCTTCCTTGAGCTTTCTTGCAAGGGATTTTATTTCTGAAGCCTCATCAAAGCTCATAGCTGCCATTTTGAGACCTTCCATGCCACATCTGAGAAGGAATGCTTTGGTGTAGTGCAGTAATGCATCAGATGAAAGTCCTTGCGAACATTCATAAATTCCAACAAAATCTTCCGATACTTCGTAATTATCATCACAGGTCCTTACGGAGAAAGACAACTGTTCTTTCTTAGATACGTCTGATGATTTGTCAGCTAGAATTGAAAATGATTCTCTCACTAGAATTTTATCAATCAAATGTCTTTGAGCACTTAATACAATCATCTGTTTCTGCTCGTCAAGGATGTCGTATGCCTTGTCGATGTCTTAGTGCCTTTTCATTGATAGCTTTATCAAGATTGAACTGATGAATATTAGATTCAAAATCCGTTCTACCTCTAATCGCAATACCTTGGCGTAAGAGTGTTTTTAATGTTTGAAGATGTGAAATGAACCCTTTCCCTCTAAACTGCTGCGTTTCAAGAGCAAGCGAACTGCAGGCTATGTTAATAGATAATTGCCCTTTGTCTGATGTGGCACAAGTTTCTTTATGAGCGTAACTGTTTTCATGTTCGTTGAATTTCTCACAGCCTTTTTTCCAGTTATCAAATCCAACTTCATAACTGCCAAACACTCCCTTTATCTTAGAGTGAGTAGAACAAATTTCGCAAAAAGCCTTATTTTTCTCGATTGTACACTAGCCACTCATAATTTCGTAACCACTGACCTTGGAAATATCGACCATGCTTCACACTACTTTCCTTGTCTTCACTTGTAAAGTCTTTCTCATGTTTTACCCATGTCGTTTTCATGCATATCTTTTCTGTTTCACCAATAAAACGTTTCGGTTTGGACCATTTTTGTGACTCACAGTCTGGAGCTTTTTCAGTGTTGACAGTTCTTACAGTGTCAATTCCGCTTGTTGAAGCAGAATCAAAATCATGGCCTGTGTTTCCTTTTGCAAACAGCGATGTTATTTTAGATTGACCTGGTTTATCCGCTGCTTTCGCTAATGCTTTTGCTGAATCTTTTTTACATCTTTCTGCTCTTGGCATTGCAGAAAAAGCGATAACTGGACCTCAGCTGGTTCACTAACACTCTTCGTTTTGAACCTTTTATTTTACAAGCCAAACAATCTACAAGTACATCACTGGAGTATTCTTACGCTATCTATTAGAGTTAATTATTTACATGTTATTTATACTATCAGTAATTACATAAGTCGAGCTTTCCTTTACGTCATTAGCAGTACTCACTCTTTCATTGCGTTTCAAGTTCTCACGCGTTGCAACAAAAAAGAAGAACTAACTAAACAAACAAAGAACTTACAAAACGTACTTAAAACAAAGAAATGTTAAAGTGAAACTAACATAGTTACGACAATTTTAATGCTAAGCTCAAAAGAATGCAATAACCCACAACGGTTAAGTAGTCTTTATCTTGGATTAAAAACAATAAATTTTCAACCTGTAGGGCACTTTTGCCCCCCCTGCCCATCTCCAGAAAAGGCAAGGGGGCCGTTTCCCCCTTTGCCACCCAGTTCCGCCGTCCCTGCAAGTTAGTATAATCCTAAGAAGGACTGCTTTTGTTGTTGTTGACTGACGTTTCGACAGCCTTAGCGGTAGTCATCTTCAGAGTCAAATTTTTTTCAGTCTGAATATAATTACCGCTAAGGTTGTCGAAACGTCAGTCAACAACAACAAAAAAAGTCCTTCTCAGGACTTTACCAACCTGGACGATCTACATCTACAAACATTTAATGATACTCCCTTGTTCAAATCATTCATTTTAATGAATGGTGAATTATTCATATAAAAATACAATCTCTTTTGTAAAAGCATCTTTGTTGAATTTCTTTGAATTCAATCTTGCTGTCTATATCCACAGACTCTGACTTATTTGACATTAAGAATAGCAATTTTCTGACAACATGCGCGAGGACAAAAACATCAAAGGCTCAGACACAAGTGACCCTTCAGTATACTCCATATTCTGTGGTATTACGTTGAACCACGTTGTCTCGACGTCAGTTGAACGTCTAGAGAATTTTTGTATGAATTTTTATTTAAAAGAACGATGTCTTCGTGGGCAAAGACGTAACTAGATCTTTAATTTTGGGGGGGTGTATATTCATATATTCAGTTGTCCAATACTGATTTCTTTTGAAATTCAAATCACTTTCAAAAGAAATCACTTAAGCCAATATAAATATGCATACACCCCCCTCCACATTTACAATTCTAATTACGCCTCTTACATAGAAAAACGTCGGCGATAGAGCTTTTGCGACGTCGGCGAGCGCTTACTATTAATGAGAACGCGTTAAAATTTATGTCGCCGATTTTTTGTGACGAACGCCGAGCGTCGGCGCTGCCATCGCAAGAAACAAAACGGTTTGTTTCTTGCGATCATAGCCGATCATTACCGACAACTTTCCATAATCTAATCCAACATGGCTGCTCTTGAAAAAAGACGAAGAATCAGACTTTGTTGAGTCATGCTCATAAACCACAAAAACATGTTAAGGAAATAGTATGTGCGTAGTTTAGTTTATCAATGTATCCGTTCCCACACGGCTAAGAGCCAAGGAACAGTTATTGACGTTAGTTAAATTTCCTTATGTACCATATATAGCTTAAACAGAGGAACTACTCCGACCAATAATAATATTTGTTGTTTGTAATAAAGACTATAAATACTGCTCTGTAAAACAATAAAAATCAGTTCGATCATTAAATTCACTCGTGGTTGTTACTGAAGGTATAGAGTATATTAAGAAATAGATATGGCGAGTAACTCGAACACAACAGACTTCGATTCAGTGCAAGCATTAAATGTTCTTGCTGTTAAAGCAAAGGACGATGATAGAAGCTTGAAATTGAATATTGTAATTTCTGTGCAGCTTCAATTGTATTTATTGGCTTTGTTAATAAGGAAAAAGCAAATTTTACTCAGATTAAACAAACCACGAAAGAGAAGGTTTTGGATAAGAGAAATGTTGAAGAAACGCTAGCAGGAAAGTCAATTTCATATTTTGGTTGAAGAGTTAAAATTGCACGATCGAGAGTATTTTTTCAAGTTTTTAAGAATGAGTCCAGAGAGGCTAGAGCATCTATTAAATCTTGTTGCCCCCTACATTACAAAAAAGAAATGCAACAGCAGAATACCAGTTTCTGCAGGAGAAAGACTTGTCGTTACTTTGCGATATTTAGCTACGGGGGATTCCCAACAATCCCAAGCCTTTAATTTCAGATTGGGAAAAAGCACAGTTTGTAATATCATAAAAGAAACATGTAGTGGAATATGGAATTCTTTATGTACCACATACCTGAAGGCTCCAAAGTCTGAGCATGAATGGAAAGAGATCGCAAATGAAATGTTTACTCAGTGGAATTTTCCAAACTGCATAGGTGCATTGGATGGAAAACACATTGCAATTGAATGCCCTGCCAATAGTGGATCTAATTTTTTTAATTACAAAAAGGTTTATAGTATCGTATTGATGGCCATGTGTGATGCTAGGTACTGTTTTACATTGGTGGATGTTGGAAATAATGGAAGAGACAATGATGCACAAATTTTCAATAATTCAGCAATGGGCAAAGCTTTGTCAAATAATGAATTAAATGTTCCATCCTGCAGTTCCATTGTTGGCCATACACTGCCTTATGTTGTTGTAGCCGATGAAATCTTTGCACTCAAACCATGGTTAATGAAGCCATATGGTGGTAAAGGATTACCACAAGATAAAGAAATATTTAATTACAGACTTAGTCGTTGCAGACGAACAATAGAAAACAGTTTTGGCATCCTTTCAGCAAGGTGGAGGATTTTTCGCCGCCCAATCAAAGCCAAGCCTGAAACAGTTGACTTGATTATAAAAGCATGCTTATGCCTGCATAATTATTTACAGCTAACATACAATGCCCATTACATCCCAGCTGGTTTTGTAGATGCTGAAGATACTACAGGTAATATCGTACCTGGTAACTGGAGAAGCATTACATCAGGTGATAATGGTGCAATGGAAGCATTCTCAGTTGGAAGGGCAAATAATAGATCTTCCTTTGAAGCTATTGAAGTTAGAGAAAAATTCAAGAAATATTTTACAAGCAAAGAGGGATCCTTGTCTTGGCAAGTCACTTATGTTAATAGTTTTTAAAGTTAACTGACATATTGTTTGGAGTATAGTCTAACCATAATCTGCACCACTAATTTCAGGTTTCATATAAATAAAATTATTAAGTTGTTAATAGCCTTGTTATTACAATAGTTGACCACATGGTTTTTATTCACAGATCAGTGATAGTTATTTGTAAAAAGCCAACCTCATTGCAGCATAATTTAGCATAGTTGTGTGTATGCAAATAAGCATTTGAGTTAAAATTTATCCTATCAACATCTTTTTATGCTTGATGGCAAATGAAATTATTTGCTCCAGGACTATTGACTCGATGTTATCTACAACATTTACACTGCATTGCAAGATTTTAGACATTGTAAAATATATATTTGAAACTAACATGTATTATGAACATTAATTTTAAACTATGTAAACAATAATGAGTTAATGAGTATCTTACTCTACTTGCTAAAACTGAGTTATCAACAAACTAAACAGTGCAGTAACTTACTTTGTGTGGAAATGATTATTTTAGAGCAACTGGAAGTGCTTATATTTGATTTAATATCTTTGAAAGTTCTACAGTTGTATTTTTGGGAAAATTAGATAAAGTTAGTGCACTGAGTAGTTTCATGGTAATCACACAAAATAATGAAGTTTTATTACTGTAAGCAACAATTTCTTCTGAAACTAAATAAAGTAAATGTCTTATCCATCAAATAACAAACTAAATGATATAAACCTGTTTTGACAATAGCCGATATGAAACTTTTAATTATTCCCATAATTTGCTTGTCTATTTGGCACAGAACCAACAAAAGTTGGAAATGAATTCAAGTAATTTGGATTTGAAAAACCTCCATACTCAACTTCCATGAAAGCCTTCTCAATTAAGTTCCTAATTAAAGCCTTCTTTTTTCCATCAAGCCTTCTCAGTCTGGGGGCTAAACTCAAACAGTAAAAGTAGTCTTCATCATTCTCCACATTAGGTTTATCTTTTTGGCTGTTTTCCAAACATTTTAAGGACTTGTCCAACTTTGACATGGCTTCTTTAATTTGTTCATCAGTTTTTTTCAATTGCATTTTGTTATTGATTTTAGCTCCAACCCAGCTCGACCACTACCATCTCTTTTTTGCCTTTTTATTGGCTGCTTTTGGTGGGTCCAATTTTCTGTGTCTCTTATTTCCTCTGCAACATCACAAATTTGTTCAGTTGCTTCGCCTTGAAAATTGTCATCTACAGATATATCTAATGTTATATTAGTTTCCTCATATTGATCATTTTCTCTATCTGATAACTCTTCAACCAAGTCGGGATCTTCTGCACTAAGTGTAACTATATTTGAGACACTGTCTTTGGTTATGTTTGGTTGACTAAGTTTGATACATTCAAGTTACTTGTCCCTTGTCTTGAAGTCATATGGATTGTAAGCCATCCAAGATTCTCGAACCTTTGATCAATATTCGGAATATCGTTTACTCCAGACCCAGACTTTAACTTTTGTTTTGAAAGATAACGAGAAAATGCAGTACGAATAGTCTTGTATCTCCTTTCCACTTCTTCTGTTGTAGTTTCAAGCAATTCAGCTATTCGTTGCCAGCAGTTAGCTTTCTTTCGTTTGTCACGAAAACCGTTTGTTCGCTTGTCGTATATCGTGGGAAATTCACGAATAATTTCCATAAAGCTTCTATCATCGTCCTTTGCTTTAACAGCAAGAACATTTAATGCTTGCACTGAATCGAAGTCTGTTGTGTTCGAGTTACTCGCCATATCTATTTCTTAATATACTCTATACCTTCAGTAACAACCACGAGTGAATTTAATGATCGAACTGATTTTTATTGTTTTACAGAGCAGTATTTATAGTCTTTATTACAAACAACAAATATTATTATTGGTCGGAGTAGTTCCTCTGTTTAAGCTATATATGGTACATAAGGAAATTTAACTAACGTCAATAACTGTTCCTTGGCTCTTAGCCGTGTGGGAACGGATACATTGATAAACTAAACTACGCACATACTATTTCCTTAACATGTTTTTGTGGTTTATGAGCATGACTCAACAAAGTCTGATTCTTCGTCTATTTTCAAGAGCAGCCATGTTGGACTAGGAGCCATTTTTTTTCTCAAAGCAATCACCGACCATCGCCGATGGTGAGCGATGCTTTGCGATTAATGAGAACACAAGGCCATCGACACCGACCATCGGCAATACTAGCGACGTTTTGCGATGAATGAGAACTAGGCTTAAGAAATATAAATTCAAATTTGCTACAACGCGCAACAAATATGTTTGAATTTCTATCCATCCACAGCATGTAAAACGTACCAAGAATAGTTTCATTCACATCTACCTTCTAACGGTGAGCAAAGATCTTGAGGAATTGAAATACACTAAATGCAGTTTAAAGGACGCTCCGCCACTAAAACGTGCAGTGAGGATCGTATTAGCCAATTATAGCTAAAATTTTAGAGAATTTTTGAATGAAAGCTGAGGAAATGTGTTTTTGTGGACTATTTTTATGTCTTTTAGTGCTATCACGTTTAAACTTCCTTGTCTAGACATCCACTTAAGATGTTGATCTTGTTTTAAAGTGTGAAGGCAAAATATATTATAAACAAGCGACGACTGCAATAAATGTAGTCTTCGCATGTGCACTTATTTATTTTTGCTAGATTTCTCTTCATGATAGAAGGCTACACAAGCCAAACAAATCAACGAATGTTCATATGAATGAGTGACCTAAGATTCTTATTTATTTTATCTAAAGTAATATTTTATGTATCAGAGTAGCATGAACGATGTTTCAATCAATGTCATTTTTAATAAAACATTTGCTATGAAGGATTGTCTTGCGCTTATCAACCTGAGTTAAATTTAACATCAGACAGAACAACGCAAGTTTTTGAAGCCCTAAGAAAATTTTCTCATTCTGCGGAAGCCGCTTCCTTGAAGCATTAGTTCTGTAACAATTTAAACGTAAACCACATTTCGAGATGAAAGATATGTACAACAGATGATTATAGTAATGAACATCATCTTGGTAAATGACTATCGTTGTAGAAATTAGCGTTCATGCATATGACATTTATAGCACCAAATGCTTAAATACTGACTTACTTTAAATACACTGGTGCCCAAATATCTTGATAACTTTTGCAGCACGTTTTCACCTTAAACTGACAGTTGAAATTGAGCTTCGAATTTAGAGCCTTGCACGCTTCTAATCAGCACAGAAATGAAAAAATCAATGAAGTGATCCGATGGGTTGATATATGTATCAAGTATCGATATTTCCCGATATTCTGATACCAAGAAAGAATATTAGCCTTTTGACACGCATGAGCCAGCAGTCAAAGACATTAAAAGCCTAGTGATGAGTGCTAACTACGAGTTAATACAATTCTGTTTTGATTTGTATTAGACAGTGTAACTATGTTGTAGAAATCCAAACTTCGGTTTCAATCCTCCGAAAAGCATTTTCGAAATCAATTTAATTATATTCACATTTAATGTTTTCTTTGTTAAAGAGTTAGCATCAAAGGAACGATGTCTTCATGAGCAGAGACGTAACTAGAACGTTAATTGAGAAGAATCAGCATTCTAAGCATCAATGCCTTCATTGGCGTCTCAAAAACTTCTTTAGCCGCTGCGCTTTCGGTTAGAGATTCATTGTTTGATTGTGTAGGATGTAGTTCACTTTATGTTATTATACAATCTGCAACTGCAAGGAATTATATTTTGCTAATGTTGCTTTACACATTTTATGATTCCAAGAAAGTGAACAACTTTGAGAATGTTTGTTCTAAGAAAATATAAATTCAAATTTGCTACAACGCACAACAAATATGTTTGAATTTCTATACATGCGCAGTATGTAAAACGTACCAAGATTAGAATAGTTTCATTCACATCTACCTTCTAACGGTGAGCAAAGATCTTGAAGAATTGAAAATTGAAATACACAAACTGCAATACGAAAGACTCGCACTGCGACTAAAACGTGAGGTGAGGATCGTATTACAAAGTTTCGAGGGAAGTTTATCTAACTATAGCTAAAACACGTTGAAATCGCGTCGTCTCAACGTCATTAGAACCTTGAGAGAATTTTTGTTTAAAAGCTGAGGAAATGTATTTTTGTGGACTATTTTTATGTATTTTAGTGCTATCACGTTTAAACTTCTTTGTCCAAACGTCAACCTATGATGTCGACCTTGTTTTAAAGTGTGAAGGCAAATAATAAACAAATGATGACTGCAATAAATGTGGGCTTTAAATGCGCACTTATTTATTTGTGCTAGATTTCTCTTCATGATAGCAAACTACACCTGCCGCATAAATGAATAAATGTTCAATGACTCAACGAATGAACGAGAAACTCAGAAATTTTATCTTTCTTATTTGTAGTAACTGGTTGATATAAAAGAGTTGCTTGAACGAAGTTTCAATCATTGCCATTTTTTTAAATTTGTTATAAAAATTCGCCATGCGCTCATCAATCTGAGTTAAATTTAACATGAGACAGAGCAACGCAGGTTTTTGAATTCCTAGGAAAATTTTCTCATTCTGCGGAAGCCTCTTCCTTAAAGCATTAGTTGATTTAGTTCTGTAACAATTTAAACGTTCACCACAATTTGAGTTGAAAGATATGTACAACAGACGATTATAGTAATGAACATCATCTTGGTAAATGACTATCGTTATAGAAATTAGCGTGCATGCATATGACATTTATAGCACCAAATAATTAAATATTGATTTACTTTAAATACACGGGGGCACAAATATCTTGACAACTTTTGCAGCAGGTTTTCACCTTAAACTGAGAGTTGAAATTAACCTTCAAATTTAGAACCTTGTATGCTTCTGATCTGCACAGAAATGATAAAATCAAGGAAGGTATCCGATAGGTTGATATTGTACCAAATATCGATATTTCTATATATTCTTGATACCAAGAAAAATATTTGCCCTTTTGACAAATGAGCCAGCAGTATTAAGTCAGTGGTAACGTTCAAACTTTCAAAAAAAATTATATGTTGTGGCTGGTCCTTAAATATATGATGTACAATAAATTTTAAAAAAATTGGAATATTTTCTGCTTGACTTTCTGTAAGAGGAGAAGCTCCGTGAATACTACTTTAAATGGAAAAGTAAAAAGAGAGGGGCAATTTTTAACAAAGTGTCAAATTACAATGAAACAGTTCAGAGCAATGTTTGAAAAGTTTAAAATAAAAAAGTTTAAATCTTTTACTTTCAAAAGGTATTTTGCATATTATAGTAAATATATCTTGTACGAGTTGAATCTATTTCCCCTTTAATTTTCTTTTGAGAGTTTCTCTCAGTTTTCTCTTGGGTGTCTTTTTAAATTCATTTTTTGTTGTCTTTAATAAAAGATCTCCTAAAACTGTAACAAACTTTCTGTTCAACATCAAC